AAATCATTTTACGATTAGTGATATCAAGGGAACATTTTTATATAATATAATCCACACGATAACCGCTGGGTTATCGTTTTCACAAACATGACTGATCGAAAAACGACTGCAATAATGATCGCGGGAGTTATATAGATTACATTATCAGTGTTAATCGAATATTTAACGGAAATTGTTACCGTGCGAGGGGATTCAAATCCCTTATTTTAAATTTTTCATAACATATTTTTAATTATTTTTATATCGAGTACATAAAATACAAGGGAAATTTGAAATTGATCGCTATCCAAATTTTTTCTTAAAGTATTATTTCCTCAGGCTAATTGAAAACAATGGGATAAATGATATTGTTGCGATTGTGAAGACTTTTTTTAATCCCTAAATTTTTTTACAAATATCACGAGGAGGCATTTGCTTAATCGTTAAAAATAAGATATATCGAATAAGTAATACAAAACAAAATAAGCAAGTGCTTAAACATTGAATCCTCTTATGATTAACGTAAACATTTATCTTGGATTAGGAATAGATTTATCACGAATTACATGTAAGAGGGATAATTTTTATCGTAATTCCGTAAAGTGCTTGTTCAGTATAAACAACAACAATATTTATTGGGATAGCTGTTTAATTTTTGATAATACTTGTTTTGAACAGAGCGGAAAAGGACAACCGGATATGTTTAATAAATGGTAATTTTTTTTGTGTTGCTGTTATGCAGTAATATTGCCGGTGAAATTACCTAAGTACGGAACCTAAAATTACGTAGTTTCATTTATAATGTGTAATCGTGTAAATACAAGTAAAAATTATTATATTGTTGTAGTTAAAGTTATTTGTTTTGTTATTAATAAAACAAAACATAAATGAATATTATTCCATAACAATGTCTGTATTTAACACGTTCGTATGTCATAAATTGTCTATGGATATGATTATGTGATGTCTGTATATCGATCTGTGTGACGATTCATTATATTTTTATAATGATAATGTAATAAGGGGGCGTATTAGTAGAGCATATATACTCGAATTACAAAAGAATGCAGTGCTGCATTACACGAGCTAACGTTAATCCTAGAAATTTAACTCGGTCCCCGATAATAGTACATTTTTATTAACAAAAGACATTCAGCACTTCATTGTCTGTTTAATTTTGAGGAGTTTCATGGTGTATCTATGGAATGCAAGGTCCAATGATGATGAAATTGAATTGGGACTATATGGGACCTAAACTGAACGCAATGCAAGAGAGTTTTTTTTTAATCTGTTCATAAATTACGGAACTATGAGGTAACAAACGTAAAACAAAAAAGAAAATTCAACTGAATTCCTTTTTTGAAGACGGTGGGAAAAATAAAAAGCTAGCAATTTATTCTATAAAGAAAGTAAATAATATGTTTTCTTTTATGTGAAAAGCTTTCAAGCGACCAGGCCATTCAACTGATGGATCTACAACACCTGAAGGCTTGCAGATGCTTTGAATTAAAAATAAAACCGTTTAAAAACTTTTAAGTTAAACGGTTTAATTTTATGTGCACTGAAAACTACAATATTGTATTGTCATCTAAATTAAATGTGTGTACCAAATTTCAGATCAATCTGACAACGGGAAGGTGCTTAAATTTCAATTTCTAATTTTGACCCAAACAAACAAATAAATTCCGTACGGGTCGAGCTAAATAAAACCGTTTATAAAGGGGGTTACCTCACTGACCACACCAAACTCGAAAATTTAGTACTTCAGCTTCACGCCGGTCTTCTGTGAGTTAGTGCTATTTCCTCAGACAAGCCTGCACATTCGTGCAACAGCATGAGCTATTGAGTGACTCTATCATGTTCATACGAAAAATCACTGAAAAATAATATTTTATGCTCGCAGCATTCAGCCGTATTATTTAGATTAAGAGCCGTGATAGCTCAGTGTCCGGGCGGTCGCCTTTCAATACACTCGGTCGTCAATATACTCGAGCAACCTGAGTTCAAGTTTTTAACTTTAAGTGCTGACTTATCACGTTCTCCGCCTTATAATATTTTCGAAATAATAAAAAAAAATGGAAGATATGTGAAGTCCGCCAATCCGCAGTGGGGCCGCGTGGTGGTATGCCCTGATACCCTCTGTATAGAGGAGGCCTTTGCCCAACAGTGGGACATATATAGCTTGTTACTTTAATTCAGCCGTATTATTCAGATCCAATATCACTTAACGATTTTTACCAAAACGGATAACAAGTGTTAAATCCAACCCGCACAAATGAGTTTCCGCATTTTTTATTTTTTATACAATCTCCATGATGTTCCTACATCCGACATTTTATCGTCGATTATACACTTTTATTTTTATTGTTACAAGGCGGGAATACGTTGACACGTCGACAATAGAGAAAATATTTTTGACGGTTTGGCTTTCGTTAAAATTTGTTTTATGAGTTATTATTTTAAGTAAACGGTATTTAAAAATATATGATTAAATAAAATAGACATAATTATTTAGAACTTTCGAAGAAACTACAAATGTTATTATTCAACAAAGATTTTCTATTAGCCAACGAAGTAAACGATACAGTCTGTTACTGGATGATTTTACACACTATTCACGTCTCTTCAGGGTGTTTACTTACTTTAAGTAAGGTTTACTTACTTTTGCTTACTCTCCTGACCGGTAAGGAAACCGGGAAGATTTTCCCGTCCACAGCAGCGTGAAAGTCTTAGTTTACTAGGCGTTTATTGTTTCAACTTGGATGTTTGTTCGATGCCACTGGGCCACCATTGTTTACATTAAGTATTCAACACTTAGTTATATTCTATCGTCCGTCAACCTTCTTATTAACAATTGTCCAAGGGCAATGAGCAAGACCAGTGGAGCAATCCTTGGGCAAGTTAATGGAAAAGTTATGTAAAGTAATTCTATTTTATATAACTTGAGACACGCATCATTATTGTTTGCAGTTAAGCAGAAGTAATTTTTAATAAACATTAAAAAAAAGTGTTAAAAATGACTGATCCAAGAAGTGTTTAAATAAATATCTAAAAATTAAATGAAATATAAAAATAAATTATATTAAAAGCATTATGGTTAATTCACCGATTCAAATATATTATGATTATGATTCAAATATATTAAATATGCTAGTGCTACACATTTTTTATTTAATTGTTTGTATTACGTTTTGACATAGCACTAATTTTGTTACAAAAAATTTGACAAAACCAGTTGACGGGTAAAAGTTGACTTATTTTTTTTAATTAAGACCGGCAAGTTTTAACACTTTTATTCATACGTGCGTTCAAACGATACTGAAACGAAATGTCATTCATCGACAGACGTATTGTTATCTAGTGAATTCATTTATATAAATAAAATACGTACGTTTTATTACAAGTATTGTTTAAATTTGCTTTGTTGGCTGTTTAATTATTAACATTGTGTACATAAATTATAATGCTAACAATATTACAACCTCGTCTTTCTTTGTAGTTGCAAGATTAACATATTATACAACCGTTTTATGAGACATATAAAAATAAAGAATTTTTCATTTAGGTGCCGAACCATTATTTTTCCTCTTTTTTATGTCTAAGTACCTACCTATTATAGTAATTTTTTTTCTCCTATTTTATCAAAAACAGGCCGTTACATGTTTTATAGAGAATAAAACGATATATTGTATATTCTGTATACTAATATCCTTAATAATAATACTCAATTAAATGTATACTCAATAATTACATTAAGACAAAAGTCAGAAAACTATTCATGTTTAGTGGCTTCAAATAATTCAATTGTATTTATGTTTTACTGTTAAAAATTATGACTTCTATTTCTATTGATTAATTATAATCTGTTGCATAAACGTAATACCGAGTTCAAGATTATCACCAGAGTGCCGACATCAGACATTTTACGGTGTGACGACGTTAGGTACTTATTTACATGTTTCTCATCGATATACAATAGCGTAATTAGATTCCATTTCAATCGTAGACATCCCATTGTTTTTGATTTCCTATTTCGTTGGGAAATGAAGAGTTGTAAATCAAATTAGAGTTTGATTTAGTAGCACTTTTCATTTTTAAGTTTTGTACATTTAGTTTATACTCTATATATAAGTATGTAAAAGAACATATACATGCGATATCGCGGGACATATACTGGCAGTACTTATTTTAGATATGGCAATTTAATTCTAAATCACACTGTATTTTAAAAGTGCAGCGAATGGAGTCGATGATTATGTAGTTACCATCTGAGTTTATTTTTGTAATGTGTATAAACTCATAGTGTTCTCAATAAATCCCTCAAGTAAAATACAATGTTTATTTCCATGACTTAAGTATTTATGATTTTTTATCTCACATTAACGATTGTCATGAGCCATGTTAAACCGAAGATATAAAGTATTAACTACTCGCAAGCTAATGCTAAGAATGCAATATATAGTTAAAATGTTATTATACTTCGGTAGGGAATTTTCCCGTGTTTTTCGAAACAAATTATAGATATAAATGAGTACATTCCATCACTAACTGTTAAATATAATATCTATAGAAAACATAAGCACACAGAGTACTGATTCACTTTAAAACTTATTTTCAAAATTTCCTTTTTGTCGTATTGTATCTACGAAGAAAAAATTTCGCGCGCTTTTCCATTCTCAACTTCTTCTTGGAGCGGATCGTGCCGGCCAGCGTTCGAAAACACTCACGTTGCGAACACATAATTATTTAAAAAAAAATGTATTCCGCCACGAGTATTAAAAAAATTAATTCGTCACTAAAACATTTTTCATATTTCCGCGCGCTTTTTTCATCTGAAAGCGTTCCATCGTGCCGGCCATCGTTCGAAAATACTCACGTCCGCATCACAACGAGTTGTTTAAAAAAAAATCGAAAACACTCGTTGGAATCACACATTAGAAAAAAAAAAAGATTCCGCCAAGAATATAAAAAAAAAAGAAAACAAAACAAACATGGCACCCGTTAAAATCACATGGACGTACCGATGCCGGCGATAACGTACTGCCGCCACAGCTGTCCCGCCTCCATCCTGTACGCTTGCTGGTTGACTGGCGCGCCGGTCCCGACCGGGTCGTAAGCGTAGCTCCTATCGTCCATACGTCACACGGCGTCGCAGCGCGTTGGGGTTCGAGGAAGTTGGCAGCCGACGCTACCAAACCTGCAATGGACGCGCGTGTTTATTTATTATTTTCAATCGCTCCCGCACCGCCCTTAGACTTCTAATTCCTAAAGAAATGGCATTATGTACCTACAGCGATGAAAGTCTTGAAAAGTGAAAGTTTTCTAGAGTACGTTGATCTTCTTTATGGTCCCGGTCAGATTTTCGACCCAATTTACTTGATTTATTTATTTGAAAATTTTCGTCAACAACAACCTTATAGACACATATTAAATACTACTTAAAGAAATTATATGAATCAAAATTATAATGTGTTAATTATAGACTCAAAAAGTGTGCGTTTTCGAGGGCATATCGATCTTTTTTACCGGGACCATAGTTAGTCCAGTTTATTATATGTTATATTCGAAAATGTTCCTCAACAAGGACCGTATATAGTTGTAAATTAGTTTGTGATAAATATTGTCTTAATTATGACGGGATCAAGCAAATGTCGTATTTAATTGTTATTAAAAAAATATGATGTCAAACTTCCCCAAAATTAATTCATAAATTTTAATGTTGAATTTCCACGATTTTGAAAACGTCTTCATTTATAAAATTATAATCTAATTCTACGTGAAGTGGTCCTACATATTTTAGTTCATTTATAGTTTTCTTCCAGATGTTAACAATTATGATAAGGAATATTTACTTGCAGACACTTTTAGTGTGTCGTAATCATCGTAAACGTATCTTTAATTCCGAAGAACAGTTAGTCCGAATGCAGAAGAAAATTCTAGGTGATACAAAACTTTATTAAGACGACCTGATTGGTTTAACGGGTAGTGACCCTGCCTCTTGTGCCAGAGGGTGTGGGTTCGATCCCCACTACTGGAAAAATATTGTGAGACGAACATAGTGTTTTTCCAGTGTTAGGGTGTTTCTTTACATTTGTAATATGTATTTATTTACAAAAGAAAAGTATGTTTAAGTATGTTTACCAGTTATCTAGGAATAGAAAATATTGTGTAAAAGAATGTGTCCTGTCCTGTCCTGAAAATTATGGCTGGGAATTTATTTACGTACTTACTAATGTTTGTAAGGTGATGTTAAAAAAATTGAGTTGATAAATACAACAGAGCTGTACAAAATTGATTAAATGTAAGTAAATGCGGCCGACCAAAGCAAATATACTGTTATAATCAGGAACAAAATGATTATCATTCCAAAAGTTTCGTAATTTGACCCCTATTGCATTTCGTAAGAATTGCAATAACAACGGGCAATTACCAATTCGAATAATTTTCCACGCGGTTTTTTTTCTAAATGCAACATCCATTACCAACGCGGAAAATTTAGGTGAACCTAAAAGTATAAACCATGTTTTTCGTTGTTATACTTTTTTGAGAACAGTACCTTATATTTAGATCAATGATTTAGAATTTAGAGTGATTATTAATTTCACTTTTAACAACTAGATAAAGATCGACTGCTGTCACTATTAGAGACAACTCATTTGGAGGCGTCGCAATTTCGTTTTAAGTTGATTCGAAAAATTATTGTTATTTTTTTAAAGACCCTCAATACAACATGATTTAAATAATGTGGAATTTATATTTGTCAGTGAATTAATTATGCTCTCATAACATTTTTAATTGGTCGTCTTGTCACTGGCCGTTAAGAAAAAATACCTGAGAAGTGTCGTTCATAACGACTAAGGAGTTTCCTTTCGTTGATGAAATCGCCATCAAATTGTTTATTTTTTATTCCGTGCACGACCACAATTTACAGTAATTATCGTTTATAAATCTTTCCTTGCGCTAATGAATCATTTACTAATAGGTTTAATGACATTTAGGATCGGACAGTTATCGAAGTCGAATGGTTCATCTTATGAAGGGTTCTGCTATATTGATTTATTTATGACTATACACAAAGCCTTTATAATCAGTCTAGTTAATTTACTACTACTACTACTACTAGGCAATAGTAGTAGTAGTAGTAGTAGTTATCCTTACTTGTCTTATACAGAGCAGGGAAAAGTGCGCGAAATGTATAGCTTTGTTTGCTGCCCAACTTGCTGCAGTGCCAGATTAAGCAAGCGCGGGGCCTGTAGCAAATTCTTTCAAAAAGCCCTTGATCTGCTATGGATGCTTAAGTATAAATTAGTTAAAAAAAAAGGTTCGTAGCAATTGCTACTCTTGCTACGCGGTTAATCCGGCACTGACTTGTTGCATTGTCTTGAAAAAAAAATAATTAGTGGTGCCGACATTCACTGAACTATTAATCAAAAATTGATGGACACTAATCAAATCAGGTTAGAGAAATAGTGGGTTTTTGAAAGCGGGGCCCCCTGTTTTGCGAGGGGTTGTCGTCGTTTGTCAATTGTGTTACCCGGAAAAAACTAACTGTATACGCGGTTTAAAATCCGGCATTTTACATTTTTCCTTTTTGATGTGCACACTGAAGTTAAGAGTCGTTTCACGTTGTCACGTAATTATTTTAGTTTTCCTAATTTACTATTTTAGGTAATACTCTGAAATGCATACGTACAAGTAAATCGAATCTTTAATCTTGTCCTTTAATGGATGTAAGCAAATAGCGCTTTAATATTAATTCCCTTATTAGTACAGAATTTATATGTTCTGAAGGAAAACAAAACATAACTTTCTTTGAGTTAATTAACGTCGACTTAACCGTGGGGAACAGACGGATTGTTTATCCGGGTGGAAACTTGATTGACGTAAGAGAATTGTCTAGACGTCACTCGAAGTCTTTAGCGACATTTATATTTAAATGTCCAGCGATTTTATTCTGCTTCTATCGGATAATGGCGCGCTGCTATTGCTTGAGTAGTACTCGTGCCTTTTTAGGCTTCTATAATCTGTGAAGTGTTGTCTAGGATATGAATAGTGCAATAAAAATAGTGAATTTTTTTCAGATTTATCTTTGAAAATCTGAGGTTAGTAATTATACTTTAAGAGAGAGCCAAGGTCTTAGGTTCGAGATCTAGAAATTTGGAGATAGACATCATAAATATTTCACACTATTGACAGTTTAATGTTATATACTAGTAGATAGGATAAAAAATTTTTGAAATTTGTTGATAAAAAACCTACTTACGGTATAATTTGTGGCAGTGCCAATATAAAATCTATTACGATATGCAAATCCAGAAGTTACGCTAATTCAAGAATAGTCGCATTTTTATTTATTTTTTATTAACTAAGAAAACTCTGAAATAATAAAATTATTAATTAGCAATTAATAATGGAATAATTCATAATTTTATAACTCATCTTTATTTTTTTACTCAATGTGTTTTATGTATGTATTATTTATGTATGTCTGTGTCATCCAAACCACTGAAAAATATTATCTTGTATCCATACAGCTTTTTATAATTATTGGAAATAGTATTGGAAATCATACGCTAAAATAATTTTATTTTATCTTGTTTTATAATTTTTAGGAAAGCGATGTAATGGGAAATATTATTATACAAACGTAGCAACACAGAACGTTCTGGCAAGTCAACATCCGGCAACTTCCTTCTTCCTTGTCTTTAGTAGTTTCATACCTATTTTACTTGTATGAAACTACTAAAGTGTAAAACTATATTTCATATATTTTCATACCTCACAAACAAACCATTAATTTACGAAAAAAATGTGTCAAAAAGGGTAAGGAAAAGATAACAATCATTTACTTGGAGTTTTGTTGTTAAGAGCCGTGATAGCTCAGTGTCCGGGCCGAGTACATTGAAATAAAGGCGCTCGCCTTGTTCTCGACTAGACTCAAGCAACCTGAGTTCGATCCCCGGTGCCGGCAGCAATGAAGTTTTTAACTTTAAGTGCTGACTTATCACGTGCTCCGCGGTGAAGGAAAACATCGTGAGGAAACCTGCATATTTTCGACATAATAACAAAAAAAAATATTTTTCGTAGATATGTGAAGTCCGTCAATCCGCAGTGGGGCCGCGTGGTGGACTATGCCCTGGTAACCCCCTGTATAGAGGAGGCCTTTGCCCAGCAGTGGGACATGTTACTTTTTTTTGTTGTTAAAAACTCTTTGATAAGTAGAGTGGAATTTGAAAACAGAGCAATATATTTATTTATATTAACATTAAAAAATAAAATTTGTATAGAGAAATTCCTGTCAACATTCAATATTTTTTTATCTCAGTGTCATATTGTAGGTAATTCCATTATTACAACAAATGACCAACCATCGATTATTGATTATCTTAACATTTTTATTACAGATATATACACGCGTACGCAAATTAACGATAGATTATTTGGCATGCCTCGTATCGAATTTATCGTATAAACCATAAATTGAAACCGATAACAATAACCCTGACATAATTATAATCTTCATTAATTTTTAAAAGTTATTTAAAAAATACAATCTTAATCAGAACAACGTCGACAACTCGCTCAGGAAACCAGAGCAATGCAAGTTGCTTGGGTGATAGTTCATAAAATTAACAGTAACCCAGGCTACCTGTTACATTAGGACGTATAAAACTATTCAGTCCTCCGTCACACAATAATGTGTTCGAAACGTCGAGAATTAAAAAATAAAATGAAACGATGAAAAATTTAATTATTTTGTTGAGCTATGCAGTATTCGCGTAAATAGAAGAACATCACTCATCATTAACAACTAAAAAATATTCCTAACGATGTGACCAAAGTCCCCTCTCAAAAATAAGCCTAATATAAATATCATCTTAAAAAATAAAAATAAATGTTGGCATGCCCATAACAGGAATGGCTGGACCAATTCGGCTAATTTATTCTTTTGTATGTTCCTTAAGGTCCACGGAAAGTTTTAATATTACAAAAAAAAGAACGAAGTCTGTCCGGGCAGGTAGTGTTCAATAAATTAGAACACTTAAAAAGCAACGCACCTTCTACCTTACGGGTGTTGCAAATGTCCGTGGTTGGCGGCCATCACTCAACATCAGGTGAACCACCAGCTAGTTCGC